GTGTGTGTGGTGTGTGTGTGTGGTGTGTGCATTGTATGTATGTATGTGTGTGGTGTGTGTGTGTCTGCGTTGTGATTATTTTAATTTAATCTATAAAATCAAATCCTGTTTATTTACCGAAAGAATAACCATTATACATTTTTTTTTTCAGATGTAACAACACGAATGACGATGAATAATAATGACCGAAAAACTATGAAAAAATAGATTGAATACAAGTAAAAAAAAATAATAATAACGAATTATTTTAACAATTCGTTCATTTTAACTCGTTCCTAAAAATAAAAGTTCTAGTTTTTTATGAAGTCGTGATTAATGCGTTTTTAGGTAGCGTTGGTTAGTTAGTCTGTTTGTTTATATGTTTGTGTGTATATATATGTTCGTTTGTTTGTTTGTATTTTGGTTAACAGAAGAAAAAAAATGCCAAAAAAATAAGAGTAAATAAATAAACTTTAAAAATGGAAAATGAAATTGAAACTAAACATAAATTAATAAAGGAAATAAGAAAAGAGAGAATGATAAAGACACACAGAATAAAAATAAATAAATATGTGAAAAAAAGATAAAAAACAAAAACAAAATTGGAAAATAAAATAGAAACTAAACATAAATGAATAAAGGAAGTCACAAAAAATAGAATAAAGATGAGACTAAAGGAATGAAGAAAAAATAGAATAAATATGAGACTAAATGAATGAAGAAAAAAATTGAATAAAGATGAAACTAAATAAATAAATTAAAAAATAGAATAAAGATGAGACTAAATGAATGAAGAAACAAATAGAATAAAGATGAAACAAAATGAATGAAGAAAAAAATGAGTAAAGATGAGACTAAATGAATGAGAGAAAAAACATAAGAATAAAGATGACACTAAAAGAATGAAGAAAAAAAATAAACAAAACATTAGACTAAATGAATGAAAGAAGAAAAAAAAGGAATAAAAATGAAACTAAATAAATCAAAAAATAAAATAGAATAAAAATGAGACTCACCGAAATACGCGAAGGCAATGAACCGTGGGCGTTCTGCGGGCGGGATCCACCTGGCCAGAAGGGCGTGCATCGAGGGCCAAGCCACGCCCTAAGAGGAAGAAACGCGTTATGGGCGGTTTGTGTTTTTGTCTTCTTTTTTGTGTGTTTGTGCGTGTTTGTTTTTTATTTTTTGTTTGATTGTTTCGTGTGTATTTTTATTGTTTTTTTGTGTGTAGTTTTTAGGGTTTTTTTGTTTGTTTATTTGTTTGTTTTTGTTGTTTTTTGGGTGTTTATTTGTTTCTTTGTTTTTTTGTTTTTTGTTGGTTTTTGGGGGTGTATGTGTTTTCTTTCCTCGTTCTCTCTCCTTCCCATTCACTTTTTCCTCCCCCCCCCCCTTACCTATTCTTAAGACCGACCTCCCCACACCCCTCTCTTTCCCTTCCCTCGATCCCTTCCCTCGACATTCCTTCCCCTCCCCTTCCCTTTCTCTTCTCTTCCCTCTCCTTCTCCTTCCTTTCTTTCTTCTCTTCTCTTCTCTTCCCTTCCTCTTCCCCTTCCATTTCTCTTCGTCTTTCCCTTCCTCTTCCCTTTCCCTTTCCCTTCCCCCTCTTCCCCTCTTTCTCCTTTCTCTTACCCTTCCCTTTCCCTATCCTCCCCTTCTTTTTTCCTTTCCCTTCCCCTCTTCTTCACCTTCCCTTTCTCTTCCTTTCCCTTTCCCTTTTCCTTACCTTCCCCTCCCCCCTCCTTTTTCCATCTCTTTTCCTCTTCCCCTACCTTCCCCTTTCCCATCCCTTCCCCTTGCCTTCTCCTCCCTTTTCCCCTTCCCTCTCCTTCCCCTACCCACCCCCTTCCCTCCCTCTTCCCCAACCCAGCCACTCCCTTCCCACCCACCCACCCACCTCCCTTATTCCTCCTCCCCCCACCCACCCAGCCACCTCCCTTTCCTCCCCCTCCCCACCCACCCACCCACCCTCCTCCCCCACCATCCACCCAGCCACCTCCCTATTTCCTCCCCCACCCACCCACCCACCTCCCTTCCTCCCACCCACCCACCCACCTCCCCAACCCCTACCCCTCCACCCACACTCACCCCGGTCAACCCCAACAACACCCTCAGGGCAATAGCAGCACCGACGTGGGCGCGGGCGGCTATGGGCGTGAAAAGGGTGATGATTCCGCTGCCCATGATACACCCGCCGAACACAAGTCGAGTTCCGTACAGCTCCGCCAATCGGCCGCCCACGATCTGTCAACAAGGACGGACCAATGTAAACAAAGGCGAGATGGATAGATAGAAAGAGAGAGATAGATAGAAGAAGGAAATAGAGAGACGAGATGGATAGACAGAAATAGAGAGATAGATAGATGGAAGGAAATAGAGACAACAGGCGAAGGAATCATGTAAACAAAGACGAGATGGATAGACAGAAAGAGAGAGATAGATAGATGGAATTAAATAGAGAGATAGATAGAAGAAGGAAATAGAAAGACGAGATAGATAGACGGAAATAGAGATACGGTTAGATAGACGATAGATGGAAATAGAGAGACGGATAGATAGACGGAAATAGAGACAACAGGGACGGACGAATGTAAACAAAGACGAGATGGACAGATAGAAAGAGAGAGATAGATAGACGGAAGGAAATAGAGAGACGGTTAGATAGACGATAGACGGAAATATAGAGAAGATAAATAAACGGAAATAGAGACAAATAGATAGATAGAAACAGAGAGACAGATAGATAGACGGCAATAGAGATACAAACAGATATATTGAATAGAGATACAGATAGATATAAACATGCTTTATAAACTAAATTAGACGGAAATAGAGAGACAGATAGATAGACGGAAACCTATATATTGACAGAAACAGATAGAAACACATATCAAATTGATAGACAGACAGACAGATAGATAGATATAGATATAGATTTTTCCCTTTTTCTCTATCTCTCACTGATAGACAGACAGATAGATAGATATAGATATAGATTTTCCTTTTTTATCTATCTCTCTATTCTCATACACCGAACCTGCGTGATTGTGTATCCGTAGTAGTAGCTCGCGAGGACAATGCCCTGGGTGACCTCGTCCCAAGCTAGGCCTTCGTCTGCCGGTTCGTCCTGAGGGAGGGAAGGGAAGGGAGGGAAGGGAGGGAGGGAGGGAGGATAGAGGGGTGGGTGGAGGTGGAGGGTAAGGGAGGGGGGATAGACGGTGGGAGGGGTGGGATGGAGGGTGGGAGGATAGAGGTGGGGGGAAGGTGGTAAGGGAGAGAGAAGGAGGGATAGAGGGTGGTGGAGGGGAGGGAAGGGGAGGGGGGATAGACGGTGGGAGGGAAGGGAGGGTGGGTAGGGGGAGAGATGGAGGTATGAAGGAGAGAAGGAGGAAAGAAGGAGGGAGGAGGAGGAAGGAAGGAGGAAGGAAGGATGATGGTGATAGAGAGGGAGGAAGGAGGGTAGAGGTAGGGAAGGGAGGGAAAGTGGGACAAAGAAGGAAGGTAAGGCAGAGAGAGGGAGAGAGGGAGGGTAAAAGGAGAGGAGGAGGGGAGGTGGGAAAGAGGTATTAGTAATTGTTAATAAATTGTATTGTTATCATTATAATCACTATCATTATTTCTATTACTAATGTTATTGCCGTACCTATTACTATCATCATAATCATTATTCCTAACATCATAATCATCACCACCATTATCATCATCACCATCATAATCATAATCATCACCACCATTATCATCATCACCATCATCATCACCATCATCATCATCATCACCATCACCATCACCATCAACATCACCATCACCATCATCCCCATTCTTCACTAAAAGAACCAATCGATTAATAAAAACAGATAAACGAATTAAAAAAAGACAACGAAAGGCGTATAACACCTTAACGAATAGCCCTGCTAATCATACCTGTGTAAGTTCTTTATTATTCATAGAGGTGAGTGCATTCGCCTGGTACTCCGTTGTACCGACTACGAAAGTCCTACTGGTATTCGTCGCTGTTGGAGAGAAGGAGAAAATTTAGCTTTGGTTTTGGATGTTGGTAGAGTAGGGTATAGTTAATGTTATTTTCTGTTTTTTTTTTTTTTTTTTTTTTTTTTTTTTTTTTTTTTTTTTTTTTTTTTTATTGGAAGGTCGTGAAAGACGTTTGTTAATTACGTAGAAAGGTTGAATATAAATAGCTGAGTGTGTATGTGTGTATATATATAATATATATATATATATATATATATATATATACATACATACCATACATATGTATATAAATATACTATAAATATATATATATATATATATATATATATATATATATATATATATATAATATATATATATATATATATATATATATACACATATACATACACACACACACACACACACACACACACACACACACATATATATAGATAGATAGATAGATCGACCTATATATAAACCTGCAACAGGAAATCAAAATAACTTCGAAACACAAGGGAAAAAAATGACAAGAATACATCCAATTTTTCGTTCATCTCTCATTTCCTTTCTATTTTCTCCTTGTTCAATTGCGAACCTGTTCTTCAATATTTGATTTCCACTGAATTTGTTAAATTACGTTTTCTAAAACTAGGAATTCCAAAAAAGGAAAAAAAATGGTTATATAAAATGTCTCGACAGCAGAATCAAGTTATTGTTTTCAATATTTTGCTGTTTTCTTTTTTTTTGTATTTTCTTTCTTTTTTCTGACATTTACCAACATTCGGTGATACAGTGAATCATAATACCAATAGAGATTGTATATAAATATATTTTTTTTCTTCCTAAGACATCAGTCAACCTTGAAATTCATACATTGCGTCGTCATATGAAAAACGAACATGAAAATTCGGAATTTCAGTATTAAAAAGTCATCATAGTAAAAAAAAACACTATTTCTAAATATTTCCTTTACATTCAATTTATTGTATTTTTCCTTAATTGCAACAAAGGCCCACAAAAATGACATATTCTTAAACTCATATTTTAAAAGTCTGCAAAAAGAAAAAAAAATCTTATCTATCATTTCATCTTATCTATATTTTTTTTCCAAAACCAACCTTATTATATTGTTATTATATCCCATTCTCATCATACCAGTATCCTATTACGATATATTATCATCACATATTCATCATTTCCTTTTTTATCTAAATCTAACCGTATTTATCATCCACATTCACTATTTCCTTCCACGATCTCCTTTTTCTTTCTAAAACCACCCTTACCGACGAATCACGACATTTGAGAGAAAAAAAAAGGTGATGAATAAAAAAAAAAAAAGCCTTTTACATTTATCATTACCTTTCAATACCTCTTTTTCTAGCGACGAATCACGAAATACATTTGTCAATACCTTTCAATACCTCTTTTTTTCTCTCATTTAATACCGACCTTGAGACCTCGGAATGCACTGCGCCTGAACTTCTTCCACCGTCTTGTTCTGGTGCACCATCGCCACTATCGCCACAGACAAGTTCACGCGCACCATAAACTGGTTCACGAAGCCGAAGAACGTCAGCACCCCCAAGGTCACCCTCGCCGGAACCCAACCTGGAAGTAGAGTCAGTGGGAAAGACTATCTACGTATAATAGTCTTTGGTCTTTGGTCAGAGGGGAGGGTGGTGTGCATATAGAGGGATTGTGAGTATAAACGGCCGGGTTGTTCAAAATTGTGCCAGGCCTGACCCAATGAAGATTCGCACCCCCCCCCCAGTGACACTCGCCGGAATCCAACCTGGAAGTAGAGTCAGAGGGAAGGATGGTGTACATAGAGGGATTGTGAGTATAAACGGCCGGTTTGTTAGAACTGTGCGAGGCCCGACCCAAAGAATATTAGTATACTTGACATGCATATATAGGTAGATATGCCTTTATATATGCGTCTGTATTTAAGAAAATTCATTGGGTCGGGCCTGGCACAATTTTAACAAGCCGACTGATAGTCTTTGGTCAGAGGGGAAGGTGGTTTGCGTAGAGGGATTGTGAATATAAACTCACGGTTTGTTAGTAATTGTACCATGCCCGATCCAATGAATATTCGCACCCCCAAGGAGTCAGAGGGAAGGGTGGTGTCCATATTGTGAGTATAAACGGCCGGGTTGTTAATAATTGTGCCAGGCCTGACCCAGTGAATATTCGCACCCCAGTGACACTCTCGCCGGAACCCAACCTGGAAATAGAGTCATGGGGAGGCTGGTGTACATAAAGGGATTGTGAGTATAAACTGCCGGTTTGTTTGTAATTATACCAGGCCTGACCCAACGAATATTCGCACCCCTAGTGACACCCTCGCCGGAACCCAACCTGGAAGTAGAGTCGGAGGGGAGGGAGGTGTGCATATAGAGCGATTGTGAATATAAATAGCCGGGTTGTTAATAATTGTGCCAGGCCCGACCCAATGAATATTCGTAAATACAGACATGCATATAGAAATAAATGCATTTCTGTCTATATATCTGGTAGATATGCATTTATCTGTCTATTTGCCCGGTTGATATGCATGACTAGACTGATAAATATGCATATATTTCTTTATTTTTGCATGTCAAGTATAAGAATATTCTTTGGATCGGGCTTCGCACAATTTTAACAAACCGGCCGATAGTCTTTGGTCAGAGGGGAAGGTGGTTTGCATAGAGGGATTGTGAGTATAAACGGCCGGGTTGTTAAAAATTGTGCCAGGTCCGACCCAATGAATATTCGTATAAAACTGACATACATATACACATAAATGAATGCATATCTAGAGTCAGAGGGGAGGGTGGTGTACATAGAGGGATTATGAGTATAAACGGCCGGTTTGTTAATAATTGTGCCAATCCTGACCCAATGAATATTCGTATAAGCATACATATACACAGAAATAAATGCATATCTATCGATCTAGCAAATAAATATGCATTTATTTTTCTATCTGCACGGTAGATATACATGCCTAGACTGATAGAAATGAATTTATTTCCGTGTATTAGTCTTTTAGGTCGGGCCTTGCACAATTTTAACAAACCAGCCAAAAAGGAACATGTGATAATAGTAATGATATAATGATGATGATGATAATGTAATGGATATATGGAAATGAGTATATGGATATATGTTGCTTATGGTTATAAAGTGAATGAATATTGAGGGATTATGAATATAATCGAATGAGCTTAAAAGGGTCATGAATATAAAGCTTTGTGAATATAAAGAAATGAACGAATATAAAAGTTGTAAATATAAGAGTATAACGAAAATAAGGATTAAGAATATAAAAGAATAAACATACGAGTATATGGATTATGGATACAATGGAATGAACAGACGAGTATAAAAAATATAAATATAGAAGGGGTTATCAACGAAGGGAATAGAATGCAGAAAGGTTATGAACATACGTGAATGAACGTATTACAGTTATGAACGTAAGGAAAGAAAGATATAAAAGTTATGAAAATGCAAACGGTTCTCGAGAACGGTTATTAGGTTAGCATTGTTAGTGTTAAAAGC